ACATTTTGTATCCTAATACTTTCCCCCTCAAGCAACACATTAAAACAACTAAAAGTATAGTTTCATTTTGACAATTGATATACCAATTAAATACTAAACACTTTAAAGAGAACTAAAAAGCTTTACTCAGCTTCCAACTTCAAGTTCCAATAGAGTGAAAAATGACTCATTATATCTTAAGTAGCAAGTAAAGTTTTCACACCCGTCACTTCACGTGCCGATTATATTCTCAAAGAGTTAAAGTAACCTTTTTTTTGTTTTTGTGGGCAAAAGAACGAAGGCAGGTTTTTTCTTTCGGTTTTTTTTTTTGGGTTTCATCTGGGCTTGTGGTGTGATGTCATATGACGGGCCAAACACAATAAATTAAAGAATAATGATGTGTGGTCTACTTTGATACTTGATAAGGCAAATGGAAAATTTTATGGCCCTCCCAAAAGACCAACAACGTGTGGTAGCAAATCTTAGGCTCCAATGGCACGACATGAGCAAAAAGTGGGATAGCCAAAATAAAGATATGGAGATGGACATATGGTGATTAAAAAAAAAACAAGAAGAAGAAGTAAGATTCATAATAAACATACATATTCACAAAAGAGTTGGTGTGACGTCCATTGAAGATAAGATAGTAAAAAAATCGTTTGAGGATTGATTCAACATAACTGAGTCCTTTGAAAATGAGTAGGAAAAAAAAATGAGAAAAATACTCAATGAAATTATTGAAGTTAAGGTATATTCAGCATTCAGAAGTATTTTGTCAGATTTATGTAGCACTTTAAAATATTTTGTGGTGTGTATATCACCCTGAATGTATAACAAGCTGCATAAAATATTTTTTCAATATTTTTAAGGTGTTGAACCCACATGAAAAAATACTTTAGAATACTAAATAAACTACAAAATATTTTATAGTATTGAATACACAAAATATTTTAAAGTGCTAAACATGCCACATAATACTTTAAAATATTGAATACACTTTATAAAATATTTTAAAATATTAGACATAACTTAATACCAGTTATGGGGCAACATCTTTTTCTTCTTTTGTTAACAAGGACAAAACACAATATGATCGTGTGAACTGTGATCCATATGATTATTATAGAGCTGGGAAAACGGGTCGAGCCCGTTTAGGCCCTGAAATTATGAGGGCTGGGCTTGATATTTTTCCCTTCAAATAGAAAATAAGCCCTAGAGGGCCGAAGGCTTAAAAAGGCCGGCTCTTTTAAGCCCTTTTATAATTTTTTTTGTTTTTTAAATTTTTTTATATAATTCTAATGTTATTAATTTTTTACATTGTTAATAATATTTTAAATATTTAGTTATTATTATCATTTTAAAATTAAATTTAGTGTTAGACAATAATTTATCCAATTAAATTTTTAAAAAATGGGTTAATTTGGACTTTAATAATGATTTGATTTATATTATATGCATTGATATTTTTAAACTAGATATATATTTGATAATAGAGTATTTTTATACTTACATAACTTGTGATTCTATAATTTGAATTAAAAATTTATGAGTTTCAACAATAATATTTTTCACATTAAAGTAAAATAATAGCTAGATTGTAAAATTTAAAAGTAAAATTCCTATAAAGAAGAAAAACTTGATATTTTTGTTACGAAAGAAAAGCATACTTATGAAGAAGAGTAATTAATTATAGTAATGATGAAGTTTCAAAAGATTAATGATAATATTTATTTATTGCACAATTGCATATAGATAAAACTTTTGGATGTTATTATCTTGTTAATGGATGTTTTAGATGTTCTTGGATGTTGATATTTATATATGATGATATTTTATATTTGTGATTTAATTTTATTCATATTTATGTCTTTTTTTAATAATTTCATTGGTTTATTTTTATTATTTTATAAAAATATGATAAATATAAAAAATATTACTCCTCCGGTCCTAATTATAAGACCCAATTGACTTATTTGAGGAGATTAAGGAAGTAAGTTAAGTTGGTTATTTATAATAAATAAGTGTTGTCATTCTTAAAATATCCTTGCTAATTAAGTATATTGGCTAAAACTATCATTATTAGAAGGATTATCTTGGAAAAAAATGCATAAATATAAGAGACAAAATGGATTGGGTCTTATAATTAGGACCAAATAAAAAGTCAAATTGGGTCTTATAATAAGGACCGGAGGAGTATTTTTTTCTTAAATGGGCCAAAAGCCCGCGGGCCGGCCCTGAATCCTGTAGTTTAAGGGTCGGGCCTAGCAAATTGGGGTATTTTTAGAATTTCAATCCTGGAGGGTCAACCCTTTTAAGCTCGCCAATCCTGGAAGGCCGAGCCGGTCCTGATTCTCATCTCTAATGACTAATACCAGTACCGTTGCTTGTGGCGTCTTGGTTTGGGCTCCTCAGTCCTCTTAGTCTTCAAGAGGAGTTTGTGGGCACCATTTGCTGGGCTTATCACAAGTACAAGCAGAGCACTGCCTATACGTATACGGCGCCCTCATTTAAACAAAAAGGAAAGAAGGACAACGTGTGAAACAATTTCCATTTCCATGACATCCTTCTGGCGGACGTAATGGAGCAAAAGCTGGACCATGCTATATCCCGTAAACAACCCTGGTCCTTTAATCAACCACACTGATCCAATTTTGCAATGCACCCTGATTTGCTAGATTTTCTCCCCCTCCATGTCTTTTCTTGCAGGTACTGATCCAGCTCTATTGATCAAGTCCTGCTCCCACACGTCTAATCTTCCTGTTTGATTCCAACGCGTCTAGTTTTGTTTTTTCCGAGTGTTTTTTGACGGGAGGAGTATCTTATACTGTGGTAAGAACTAGGTACTATTAGTTCCTTTTTTAATCATGATTTTGTGTTTTTTGTGGCTCCTTGCTTGGCCTTGAATTGCTTGAACACGGGTTCAAATGCCGATAATCATAAAGGATTAACTACTAGCTTTGATTAAAAAAAGGGGGTCAGTTTAACAAAATCTTGTTTGGATGATACATATATACATATATATTGGAATAGAAACTGTGAGCTCCAAAAGAAGCATAAACAATATAGAACAGCTTTCCTCATCAATCTCCTTCTCTTGGTAAAGAGATGGAGATTGAGTTTAGATGACATACTGAAAAGTTAATCTTACAATGTTTAAATTCGAAGAAAAACTAGAACGGAATATAAAAGCCAAAAATCAGAAACAAAATTGATTTATCTTCAATTTGACTTTTGATCTAGAATCTTATTTTCTCTTTGGTTATTCCAAACATCACATGCGAAGCCAGAGTAATTTTTAGGGGCAGAAAAGTCAATTTGACATCACATAACATGATACCAAACAAGCTCTATACACAATTTAAGAAAAAATTTTAAATTTCAAAAGAGTAGGCTTGAGTTTCTTGTAATAAAGTCATCTATTTTACTAACTGTAAACGTAATTTTCAATTTTCTATACTAGAGTTACGAATTTGCTATAAGACATTAAAATTGTCAATTTTAATTAGGTAATTGTTATAATTAATAGAGTTGTTCAATTGGTAAAAACACAACTTTAATTTCTTTTTCTAAAAAATAATTATGAAATGAGTTATATGGAAGTTATCTTATCACAACCACCTTCACAGTTGAATAACTCCTTTACTAGCCAAAACTAAAAGGTATACTGTGGTAAATTTGGAAGGACATTTCTATCATTTATCCACAACTTTCTATTAATTTTTACTATTCAAGCACCATTACTTTATTCATTTTATTAAATACTTACAGGGAGAATTCCACATAAAGAAATTTCAAGTTGATAAATTCTAAATAAAAAATTCTTATAAAAATGTGTCATTATTTGCATATCTAATATTGTTAAAACCTATTAAAGTGTTGTTATCAAACTTGATTTGGGATTTAATAATTTTAAGAGCTCTCTCTCTCTCTCTCTCTCTTTAAGGATTCTCCCATACTTATGTGGTTTACCAGGGAAATACATACAAAAATACACACACTTTTGAGTTCAATTGGCCAGTTTTCAATTTAATTTTAATATTGTTAACTTTAAATATAATGGGATGAAAAAATAATATAAATATCACTACTATTACTTGATTAAAAAAAACATAATTTTAACATAAAATAAAATAATCAAATCTAGTCCAAATGTCGACTGGGATCAGGATTTAAATGAAACGCATCATGATCCATTCGTCGGATCATTATAAAATATCCCTCTAATTATCTAATACTACTCTATCATTAGTTCGGTGACTTCTTGATATGCTTCGCATCACATCAAATATTATATGTGTCGGTATTATGATATTTATTTGGCCAAAAAAATATTATGATATTTAAAGATCACACACCCTCGCTTGCGTGCGATATCTAAATTTTAAAGTGAAAAAAGATTATCAATCTTAAAGATGCAAGAATCAATTGAAGTGGCTGTGCTTTTATATGCATGATTATAATCATCCATGAGTATTATTTAAGTGTTTTTATAATGTGAGTAGCATATATTTATCAAATCAAACATATATTCTATTCATACACGCGTCTTGGACGCATAATCTTGTGAGGAAAATTTTAAAGGGTTTGCTCTTTTCCAATATTATTATATTAGATTTTATGCGATAAAATAAATAATTAAAAGAAATCAAGCTTATACCTACCTTCAATTTTTCTTTTAATTATAAAAGAGCATTCTGCTCTTTTAACAATATTTAAAAATTTTTAATTAAACATATTGGCTTGATTAGAAAATTGTTAAAAGCGTAAGCAAGCTTAAATTTAGATTTTACTATTCAGTTGGATTTAATAGAGATTTTTTTCAAATATTAACTTCATTTATTTTTCGTTTAAAAGAAGGGTAAAGACCCATTCAATGATAATTAGGTTTAGAACGTTATGTTAAAAATAAATTGTAAATAACCAACGGAGGTTGGTCCAAGTGGTAAGCGGCTTGGTACCGCTTAAGCGAGGTCTCGAATTTGAGCCTCAGCTTATGCAAAAATCCCCGTTTGGAGACTCACCCACCACAGCCAGTGCGCGACCCGGGTCAGATCCAAATGTAGTCGGAGCAAAGCTCCGGTGAACTGAGTGGGTGGGCAACCTAAAAAAAAAAATTGTAAATATAGATTCAGCAAACTGCAAATATTGTTGTTGGGTATAAAATTACATTTCTTTCCATCTCTATGTGAACGCGTCTTATTATTTTGTGGGTATTATTGGTTCGTATAGCGTGGCGTATTGCTGTGGATTTGCCGGCATGCCAGAATGGGACCAATCTTCCAATATTATTCCTTAGAACCTCATTCTATTTTTTGATGGAGAGAATTAATTTACTAATAAAGAAAATAAAGATATTATATAATATATATTATAATCACTTATTTGAAGTCAAACGGACTTATTTAAACTCTCACTGCTAAATCCAACAGACACACATGATTTGTTTTAAATTTTAAACTCACTTGAGGGAAATCTGTTAGTCTTGATTTCTTTTTTCCAAGAGTTTCTTTTATTACATATATGTGTGTGTGAATATATTGTAATATTGAGATAGAGAGAGATGGGGTGAAAATTTTGAATGATAAATTAAAATAATGCCTCCAGTCCTATTTATAAGACCTCATTTATAGACTACAAACAAGGTCTTATAATTAGGACCGGAGGTAATATTCTGTTTTGAGAATTTTTTTTCCTTTTCTTTTGAATTTTAGTAACAAATTGTAATTAAAAATTCTAAAATATCTCCATACAATTTATTATCCACTTGATCTTCCTTTCTGTTGAGTGGATTTCTTTTTAGGCGTGATATGATTGGACTTCATATATCTTCTCACTGCTCTCCTTTTAGTCACTGACAAAAATATTCTCTACAAGTTTGCATAAAAACATTTTAATATTATTAAATGCACACATTGTCAAGTTCAATTTTAAGTTAAGATTATACATGCATTGTCACAAAGAAAAAAGAGTATATATGCATTGATCAATAATCTACATCTATAAAATTGGTAAGAAGCTATTTGGCTTATATGAAAATACTAATTGGCTTCGTCTGGGTACTTGGCATATAGCACCGCACAAGAATTAATGCTCTATATATATATAAAGCTTGGTCATCAATAATCAATAATCAACAACTCAAATAAATCACATTCATTTTTCACATACCGTATCTTTTTTTTCCTTAATATTTTCATTAAATTGGAAAAAAAGAAACTAAATATTTTGACAACTTTAAGCTTCTATATATCTTTATTGAGTTTATCACACATGATTGTAACTGTAGTCGGTATACATATTGGAATTAATTGTTAAGGACCACAAGACTATAAATAATTCGCGCGCATAAAACTTTAAAAGATCCCTAATGGAATACTAATAAAAAGGAAAGGATTTAAATGAAATGCTTTATAGACAAGAGACATACAAAACATCAGCTCCATTTATCCTTTATACATAGACTGACACATACATTTTGTATCCTAATACTTTCCCCCTCAAGCTACACATTAAAACAACTAAAAGCATAGTTTCATTTTGATAATTGATATACCAATTAAATACTAAACACTTGAAATCCTGTATCATACTCTAGATCCTTAATATAAGATCTATTTAACCAATTTGATAAGATTAAGAAAATTAAGTAAGTTAGTTAATTATGAGAAATATAACATGTTTTTTCTAAAACACCATAATCATTTTTCTTATAATATCTCCCTCCCTCTTTTACTTTTATAGTTGAAAGAGCATCAATAAGGGTAATTTAGAAAAAATTGATAAATATAGAAAATAGATCTTATATTCAAAATCAATATCAACTCAATAATTAGGTCATATGTTAAGGGTCGGAAGAGTGCATATATTGTATGTTTAATTATTTTCAAGAGACCTATTCTTTAATTACTTTGATTCGTTTGGCTGATACTGACAAATAATGATGCATCCATTGAGGCCGAAAGATCAGGCGTTGCTTAGCCAGTTGAATCATGAATTCTCGTCCTGGTTTTATTATATACTGGCTAGCCAGTTTCATACCAAGCTGTTATTTGGTTGATTTTTTAAAAACTTAAGTTAGGGTTTGCTCGAAATTTCATGACACATATATAGTAGAAACCGAGAGGGGAAGGAGAGATATAATTAACAACTCAAGGTTTAATCCTTCTTCTTCTTCTGGGTTTGAAGCTAATTATATTATATTTAATGTTTACCTGATAAAAAAGACGTTATCTTGAATAAGACATCTAAATTATCAGCTATTCATATTTTCCTCCTGCTTCATGCATGCACGTGTGTGCGCGCGCGCGCGCATATACAGGGTAAAAACGATCGAGGCTACCAAATTCCCAAGTAAATATTAATATTATGGCCTAGTATGACACATATTTATGTGTGTCTATATCATACAAAGATCTCGTAAGAGTACGTATACAAACCACACACATACAGATCTATAACGCAGTTAACTTCTGAAAGCTAACTGCTTCTTATTCCAACACCAGTACATCACACTCATACATCTCGCAGCATGTGTACTACAGTACAACAGCGGAGAAATACATCTCTCTCTCTCTCTCTTTTCTCTCCCTCTCTATATATATAGATATGTTTATGTGTATATGCATATATATATATATATATGTGCATCTCAACCTTGGGTGTGATGAGTTGTTTGATTTACGAGACCGAGAATCCTTTGCCTGCCAAAGTAGCCATATTTGGCAGGATAGGCTCGGTTTCTTCCTGGAAGAGGAATAGGATTCGAACTGGCCAGTGATGCCAGAGATTTCTGAGCTTGTTCTTCATGATGATGATCGTAGTAAACTCGCAAACCAGGACCCATGCGTGGTTCCACAAGATTTTGCTGAAACTGATGATGATGTTCAGCCATGGCTTCCCTGAGGAAAGTACTGATGAGAGACTTCTAGGGTTGGACTTTTTTTTCCTTTCTTCTTGCTTTTGATTCTGCGTTAACACAACGAGGTTTTTATAGTTGCGGCATCTTGCAAGCTTGAAAGGGAAGCTTGGACTAACGTGATCAGGATTTAAATGAAACGCATCATGATCCAGCCGGATCATTATGAAATATCTCTCTAATTATCTAATACTACTCTATCATTAGTTCGGTGAGTTCGTGATATGCTTCGCATCACATCAAATCTTATATGTGTCGGTATTATGATATTTATTTGGCCAAAAAAATATTATGATATTTAAAGATCACACACCCTCACTTGTGCGCGATATTTGAATTTTAAAGTGAAAAAAGGTTATCATTATATTCTTATAGATGCAAGAATCAATTGAAGTGGCTGTGCTTTTATATGCGTGATTATAATCATCCATGAGTGTTATTTAAGTGTTTTTATAATGTGAGTAGCATATATTTATCAAATCAAACATATATTCTATTCATACACGCGTCTTGGGCGCATAATCTTGTGAGGAACATATTAAAGGGTTTGCTCTTTTCCAATATTATTATATTAGATTTTTATGCGATATTTTGCTTTCGAATATAGATATGTGTGTGTGTGTGTGTGTGGTTTTGTTTTGGTTTAATTTGTTTGTGAGTAGTTAATTTGGTTTGTATATATCAAGTTTGTATGACGTGGGTGTTGCTTACGCAAGTAACAGATACATACGAATGAATCAAGGCGGGTGTTGGAGGAATAAATATTAGCTTTGTTTAATTTTTTAATTGAATTTTATATATTATTTTGATAGAGCTGATAGGTTATAAAGTGCTTGAAGCAATTACTAATTTGCTAAAATCGACAGAGGGCTTATCTAGGATTATGGGAATTTGTGATTAAATCTTAATTAAATCCAGCTATATAAAATAATTAAAACCGAAATCAAGCTTATACCTACCTTCAATTTTTCTTTTTAATTATAAAAGAGCATTATGCTCTTTTCACAATATTTAAAAAATTTTAATTAAACATATTGGCTTGATTAGGAAATTGTTAAAAGTATAAGCTTAAATTTAAATTTTAATTATTGTTTAGTTGGATTTAATTGAGATTTTTTCAAATATTAACTTTATTTATTTTTCGTTTAAAAGAAGGGTAAAAGACCAATTCAATATAATGATAATTAGGTTTAGAACGGTATGTTAAAAATAAATTGTAAATATAGATTCAGCAAACTGCAAATATTATTGTTGGGTATAAAATTACATTCTTCTTTGAAAAAATTGTTAAAAAAAACTTAGAAATTGAAAAATTATAAGGAAAAACAAAAAAAGGCCCTGGAATTTAAAAAACACAGATAGAGACTGAGTGACAACTTCACAATGGGTTTTGACAACTTCATGACATATTATTATTATCAAAAGCCATGGTGAAGCAAATTCTAGGATCTTTAATTGTGGTTATCCTAAAATTATATACAGGAATCCTTTCACAAAAATTGTTGTCATTTGCTTATTAATTATTATCAAAATCAATAATAAGGTTGTAACGGGTCCTATTTGCAATTTTTTAAATATTTTTTTTTTATGATTTGTCCTTCTTCTTTCCATCTCTACGTGAACGCATCTTATTATTTTGCGGGTGTTGTTGGTTCGCATAGCGTGGCGTATTATAGTGGATTTGCCGGCATGCCAGAGTGAGACCAAACTTCCAATATTATTCCTTAGGACCTCATTCTATTTCTTGATGAAGAGAATTAATTTACTAATAAAGAAAATAAAGAAACCGTATAATAGACTTTATAATCACTTATTTGAAATCAAGAGACTTATTGGAATTTTCACCGCTAAACTCAGCACACATACATGATTTGTTTTAAATTTTAAACTCACCTAAGGGAAATCTGTTAGTCTTGATTTTTCTCTTCAAGAGTTTCTCTCATTACATGTGTGTGTGTGTGAGTATATTGTAATATTGAGATAGAGAGATAGGGGTGAAAATTTTGAATAATAGATGAAAATAAATAAAATCGATTCCGCAAATGTTTTGTTTTGAGAATTTGTTCCCTTTTCCATTGAATTTTAATTAAAAAATTATAATTAAAAATTCTA